TTTTTCAATCTTAAATGTTGTTCTGCGTCGGACTTAAAATTCAAAACCAACATTTTTTTCGTGTTTATTTGTTTATTTATATGTGCCTATATAAGGCTCTTATTCCACTTTTTATTTTTCTTATTTTCTTTTCTTATTTTCTTTATATTCTTTCCATTGATAAATTCTACTACTAGTACTACTACTACTATTATTATTATTATTATTATTATTATTATATTACTAGTCCTTTATTATCTTATTTCATAGCATATTTTATAGTATATTATTTTATTTTATTCTATATTATGCATATTACTGTATATTCTTTTATCATGCAATACTTTGTTACATTAGTTAGGTTAGTATTATAAATATCGTTAACTCTCTTAACTTTTGTTAAAATATAGAGCCCCCCCTCACTCCCTAATAACTCTGTTTTGAACAATAAAAAATATTAAAAAATGAATAAAAAATTAAAATTTTCACATACACTGGGTTGTATATTAATATTTTTTGTTTTATTATTTTAATTAGGTTCCTCGATTAGTTTTTGCTAGTATGGTCATCATCAAGAAAAAAAAAATCCGCGCTTGTTAGTAACAGTGAACTACAGGAGTGAATTACTGTTTCCGAAGAAAGTAAACTTTATCTGTAGTATTTATTTGTTCTTTTTTTTAATCGTTAATTTTGCTCAGTCCTTGTGTAAGTCAAACGGTCTCTTTGAAGCTGATTTTAAGAAAGGGGATGCGAGATTCTTGACTTTAAAAATTCCCTCTTTGGTCATTTTGATAGTTTTATTGGTTGCTGGGAATGAGATGTGTATGATAAGTGTATGTTATCTTTTAGTTCTTTGGGAGTGTGTGTGAGGTGCCTATGTGTATATATTAGGTCCTAATGTAAGTTTTCTATAAGTTAACATCTCTGCATGCATGTCTGCCTTGTGTGGGTGAGGAATGTGAATAGAACTTGATTTATGGGGTTATATATGAATTCTATCTCTGGTGTTAAATTTCTGGTTAAGCCCGTCTTGACGAAGAGATTTGCGCTGCAAAATCCATTTGTCTTCATGTTGCTCTAGTATTTTTCTAAGCTTATTTTTTCTGTCTATTTCTATTTCTTCAATTATAGTGAATTTTGCATGGCTTTTAAAATCATGTTTTTCTAGGCGTAAATGTTGCTCTACAGGTAATTATCTTTCGCGGGGAGCCGACTTGATCCGATTCCGATAATTATGAATTCTTTAGTGAAAGGGCCATTCAGATTCCCCCGCATATTGTCTCTGGAATAGTGTGCATTCTAATAGGTAAATTATGTTTTAAATTCTACAGTTAGATTTTGAAAATAGATTGAGTGACTGATCTAGTGAACGAAATGGTAGGTCGAATGTGGTTACAACATAAGGTCCTTTATTTTGGGTTTATCACCGGTTACCCTACCATTTGAAATGTGGTTACTACCTTAATGTTCATCAGTCTACGATATTCTAGAAGGCCAGGTTCCTCAAACAAAGTTTTTAGGTCTGATTTGAGTAGTATTTCCCAGCGAGTTTTTTATTATCTGAGGTAGTGGAGAAAGAGTGGTGTTGAAAGTGCTTACTAGAGGGATGCGTCTGGATATATTTTTTTAATTTTATGCATTGAGGTGCCTTCTCAGGATGTGGAAATTGCTTTATTTATTTGTTCCCTGATTAGGTGTTGTTTACAGCCATGTGTTGTAAATTGATTCTCAAGATTTCTAGTGTGCTTACTTAGTTCTTCAATGCTAAAACATATCCTTCTGAGTCTAAGTGCTTTTGAAAATGGAAGGTTCTCCTTGAGGTGTTTAGGGTGTGAAAGCTTAAAGTGTAGGTAGTTGTGGGTGTCGGTGATTTTAGTGTGTAGTATCGTTTTTTATCGATGTAGATGCGAGTGTCTAAAACTGTTACCAATCTTGTTAATTTTTCGTGATCGAAATTAATGGAGTCGTGTACCTTGGCTCTTTAGAAGATAAAATCATGTATAGGATTGCTAAGGCTTCCAGTGCTTTCGACAAACTTCGCCATCGCTTGTGGTATGAGCGGGATATCCGACTGCATACGAAAATTCGGGTTTACAGAGCTGTTGTACTTGCCATCTTTTTGTACGTCTCAGAGTCCTGGACTCTATACAGGTACCATATACGCCAGCTGGATGTTTTCCATAAGAGCTGTCTGCGTGTCATCTGTCGAGTTAGCCTTCAAGACAAGAAATCTAATGTAGACCTGTTTAATAGATGTAATATTGGACGAATCGAGGCTTTCCGCATACAGTCTCAGTTGTGGTGGATTGGTCATATCTTGAGAATGTCTCATGATCCAAGTTCCAAATGTATAGCCAGTTAGATCAGTGCTACAGGAATGTAGGACGGTCATGGCTTACATACAATGACAAGCTGAAGAGCAACTTGTCAGCTGTCAATATACCTCATAACACACTTGAGCGCTTACCCTCGTAGTGGATAGAGTGGTGATCAAAGTGTTTTAATGGACGCAACAGATTTAAATCTGCTAGTCAGAATCGTCTTCAAGAAGCGAGAGCAAAATCGAAAAGGTCAGCCAATCTAACAGTGATCTCATCCCAAAATCGTCACTCTTTCTCCAAATGCGGGTTTAAGATTATCGTACTGAATCATTTGGTTAAGTTGCGTGATCATCATACGTCGAAACCGATTGGAGAGTCCATGATATATATATATATATATATATATATATATATATATATATATATATATATGAGATTCTTACTAAATCTATCTATTTAGAAATACGTATAGACATGTCAGTCAACAAGTCTGTGTCAAATATAGAATGGACAATGTGTGAATTGTTTAATTTCTAGACGTTCGCTCGTGAGTATTATTTGATCATTTATTTCTTGTAATTTAATATAGTAATTTTTCGCTCTAATAAACTTTGAATTTGCATTTCAGCGTTTATAATGTGAAGTTCAACATTTTCTTATTTGATTGTAAATACTTGCAGTCCATAATCTAGTGCAAATTTGAAGTTCGTCTACCTTTTAGGACAGGTGGGTTGTGACATTCGTGACGTCGGTAACTTTGTTGATCACCCGCCCCAATCAATTTGTGTACCTGTGTTTTCACTAGAAAGAAAATACAAGAGGCTATCAGGCGATCTGTTGATATCTATTTTCCTTACCTCATTACCTCCCCACTTTTATTTCTCTCTCTCTCGCTTGTTTTTTACTGCAAGAAACGATACCTACTCCGTCTTCCTACAAGTAAAACGAGAAAAAATAAAGAAGAAATCCGAGGAAAATTGTCTATCGTTGATTCAGTCAGTTGGTGCAGCTTTGGAGTCCCTACATAGTTATGGCCGATCGATCGTTTGAATCTCGAAACAAGACGCAAAGCTACATAATATCTAATTTTTTGTTCACATGAAAACGAGATGATATTTCTTTCCTTGTACGTATACAATCTGAACGCTTAATTAAGTATAATCGATAACATTACAGACTGTTCTTTGGATTTGGGAGACCCTTAGGAAAGGTATGAACCCACCTCTTCTCCCCATCCCAGATACGGGTTAATTAGTAAGGCTTGTATCAGAAAATCGTTATTATTTTCAAAGAATTCTTACAATCTAAAATTATTTTCTGTCTTGAAATAAAATAATAAAGGTTGGTAATTTGTAAAACAAATGTCGATTTATCAATTATGTAGAAGAACGCTTCGTGTCAAACTTCAAACATTTTTGTAGATTTCTTCATGAAACACAGCCATATGTATCACCGGAAGTGCATCCCATAAGGCATCACCGGGATGTGACGGAAATGATGATATAAATTCTGGATAGGCCAAATAAAACAGTATGATCTGAAATTTTGAAAGATTTATTCCAGAATATCGTCTAAGCTATGCTAAGAATTAAGACGATACTAGGGTTAAAAAGGGATCCAGCCCTGCACTGAAAGTGTAAACCTAAAAAATTGATCACTAAGTGTATTTTCATCTGACCTACTGGTGTCCTTTAACCGAGTTATGGCTTTCAAGATTTTAAGGTTAAAAAAAAAGGTCCAAATGCTGGTAAATTCTTTATGATGTTTTACAAACTGTTTTCAGATTGTTGCTGGAACAATTTTGTAAACAAATTGCTTTGTGTTTTTCCCTCTTTATTTTCATCGGAAGAAATTTTCGAGTGAAACATTTTTTATGTAGACTCCACTATTAATAAAAGTCAAGACACCGACGTTGAAATCGTCGAGAACGAATTACTTTCCTGCAAGAAAAAGAAAGACGAAATGTGCAAAAACAAACAAACGATTCTCCATAATCAGGGCGGGGAGAAAGAAAATTTATTTGAGTTAGGCTTTAAAAGGAGGGAGATCAAAGTTTGAAAAGACAAACAGAGAAAAGTTGCCGAGCATCTTGAGAAATGGTTGTTTATCTTGAGGCGAGACGAGTGGCGACCGGCAAACATTAAATAAACAAAACAAATAAAAATAGTTAAAGAAAAAAGGTGAAAAAAAATCAAAGATAAATCAATGAAAATCATTTGCCAAAGTTTTCGGGTCAGAAGCAGAGACCAAAGTGGGTAATTTCAGATATCCAGACTATCATTAGTTTAACCTTTGGATATATATATATATATATATATATATATATATATATATATATATATATATATACGGCTGTTTGTGTGATATTTGTTTGTGCGTATAACTTTTACATTTGTAACGCACACACACTCACACATACTCCCTATAAATATACAAACAGAGTCATAATTTACAAAAATATTATACACACACACACACACACACACACACACACACACACACACACACACACACACACACATATATATATATATATATATATATATATATATATATATTGATTTTTAACAATACGGAAATTCTAACGGAAGGTCTAACGTTAGGGAGAGATTAAGTTTTGATTCGTACATAAAACTAACTTCTCCCTCCGGATACATGGAATTGTTGTGATTTGCTGACTTATTACAAAGCAATTTTATTTCATGTTAATAATGTTTTCAAGTTAGATAGATATAGAGATAGAGATGAAAAAACCGAGATAGATAGATAGATAGATAGATATGAACAGACTAAGATAGATAGATAGATAGATAGATAGATAGATAGATATGAACAGACTAAGATAGATAGATAGATAGATAGATAGATAGATAGATAGATAGATAGACTGGAAGTTTAATACACGAATGATCATTTCTATATGTAAAAAAATGCTGAATCACCAATACTTTGCCCATTATAAGCACACACACACACACAACACACACACACACACACACAACACAAACACACACATACATATATATATATATTTTATATATATATATATATATATATACGTATATATATATATACATATGTATATAGGTGTGTGCCTGTATGTGTGTGTGCGTGCGTCTGTGTTTTTGCCTATGTGTGTGTGTATATGCATATATTCTTATGTATGCAGTTTATGTATACCTTTTTGTGTTATACTTATGCAGTCAATTTGTAAACAAATTCTGTTAAGCAGAATAATCGATATGGTGTGATTTAAAATATTTTATTGACGGATTTTGGCACCTCGATTTGATGTTATGGTTAACAAGCTTGTCTCGCTCGATCAGTTACGACTGAATATTGATTTCGATGCTCATTGGGTGTGCCCTACTTTCGGACTTGTCTCGCATATATTTGTAAAACCGTGGCTTCACCCCACTGTACCCACGTACTCCACCAGACCGGCCGTTGGTCCGCTATCGTCCAGTATTACAGGTTAGACACAAGTCTCCGGTTCCCAATATCAATTCGAAGCCACCCTCCAGCCACATTGTGATTTGTTTTGATCCTGGAGAGTGGTCATTAGATCGTAGAAATCCGGAAGACCCCCTTGATCCACCTGCGTGTTAGTCGGCTGAGAACAAGTTAATTCGATTTTGAAAGAACAAATGTTTTTTTTTTTGTTTTTGTTTTTTTTAAATAAAAGCAAACCCACGAAAAAATAATTCTTGTTGCATAAGCTTGCATGTGAACAATAACCAAACACAAATTCTTCGGATAACTACGGCCTTCGTTTTAACCCTTTTCTGGTCTGGTCGGGAGTAAACAATTTACTTTTCCATCGATTGGTTTCTAACGTACGCAACAAGGCTCTATTGTTTATCACCTAGCTATCAACAGCTCTACCGATTTTTGTAAACTACACAGGGTCTGGTTTCAAAATAAATTCTAAGTGAAAAACCCTTTATTTTAATTTCGATTCTTATGGTGTCAAAATCCATTTCTTTTTCTAAAACTTCCAAATTATCATTGTTCAAGTAATTTTCTATTAGTAATCTGATATCCTTTGTACAATCACCAAAAGATTGTATTTCGTGTTCTAAATTAACTTTCTGTAACATTTACATTTCAAAGTCTTTACAGCATTTTTAACATCTTGGTTATTTGGAAATGTTTATAGAATTTTCTTCTTTATTATCATTATTATTATTTCAGCGGTGACATCACACCTGCCACATAAACTACGCTTTGAAATTACTATTTTTAATGAATTCAATCAGTTGAAATAGGATTATCAACAAGTCACTATAGCCCATGTTAGTTTATTTCAGTTTTCTAGAAATCCCACTAACTTTTCCCCTGTCATGAATCAAGAATCGTGTATTGACATTTTACCGAAATTTTACCTTTTTTTATGTGAAATTCTTGGAACATATCTAAATATATGTGATACACACCTTCACAGGATGGAATCGAAATGTATTTTATTTTTTGAATCTGATATTTGCAATTTAAATTGTCTAATCCGTTAATAAACAACACTGGATAAAATAAATAAGACAAGGTGGAATATTTCAGGATTTTGGTACAGACTTATTGACTTACATGTCTATGCATGATTCTGTATAGATATATTTAGCAAATCTCACACACACACACACACACACACACACACACACACACACATTATATATATATATATATATATATATATATATATATATATATAGCAAGTCGATAAGTCTTTTAGTGAATATTTTATATTTTTAACATATTAAATCGCTTTACAGGTCTGTTTTTCTAACTAGGAATTGAAAACATTTTTAAAGCGTACGATTTTAACAACTATTTTAATGTTTGTTTATTTCGGTATATATATATATATATATATATATATATATATATATATATATATATATATATATATATGGGGGGTGTGTGCTTGTGTGTGTTTCTGTTATGTTTTAGTCGTCTGAAGATTGCGAGGGCGTGAAACTTGATTAGCGACGTGCACTATGCCTCGTTGAGTGTTGACGCTGCGAAACTTTTTTTTTCTTTTTCTTTTCTTTTTTTTTCTTTTTGCTCTGTCTGGAAAGCCCCGGTGATGTGCGCATTAACTTTAATTTACTGCTTAGTTACCTGTTTGCCTTTTGGGTATTTTCGTTTTCCCATTTTTTTTCTTGTCTAATGTTTTAAGTTTGAAATACAGAAGACTTGTTTTTGAATTTTTGTTTCATTTGTTTGTACATATTTCATTTGTGCTGATGCTAATAAAACAGAGCTATTATGTATATATAAATATATATATACACATTATTTGGTACGACACTGAATTTCATGCACAACACAATCTTCAGGAAATGACCTTTACAAAACTTTGAATTATAATATATCTGCTGATCTCAATGTTGGCGTAGTTATATATTATGCTGTCTTTACAGATTTTTAAATTGGAAGGTAAGGCTTCAAGAAAACCAGAAATCTGTAACACGAGGGGAAGTGGAAAATCAGGAGTGGCTGAACACATATGGAGAGAGAAGCGAGATCACCGCCATCTGTGGGATCAGGTTAAGATCATAGACAGGGAACACCATTGAAAAATTCGTAAACCTAAATAATCAGCACATATGCTAGGCCTCAAAAATCTCCTGAGCCGACCAAGCATAGAAATGAATACAATATGGGAACCAGTAATAAGTAGTGCCAGAGAAAAGCAAAAATATCAACAAATAATTGCAATATGAGCTCTGGGAAATACATGTAATGATAACAGCAAAGATTGCAATATGAGCACTGGATGAAAAATGGTTTCTGAAGACATTAGATTTATAATACCCATAAATTTCTACACAGATGTCCTCAAGGACATATGACACAGTGGATAAAGGCGTTAGTTAGATCCAGTGACAGGATCCAGAGAGTGTGAGTTCAATACCCGGTTAAGCCAATGAAGAACTTGGAGAGAGGAATTAACAGGATATAACTGATAACTGACATCTATTAAACATGGCACGTTGAACTAGAACAGTCTACCCCAGTGATGGAAATAAAGGGTTCAGTTCGACATTCCAACTACCTGAAGAATTTGTAATAAATATGGCGACAATGGCCGAAACGTTGTAATAAATATGGTGACAAAGATGAGGACAATGGTCCGAATAATGAAACAAATAATGTACAAATTTAAAAATTATATTTGGCAATTAAAACAAGCTGGATTTATATATGTATGCAGAAAAAGAACATTAAAATATATATTTTTGAGTGGTGAATATTCATATTTTAATATTTTTAGATTTTTTTTCAAATGATGTCGAAAATAACGATTATTATATATATGAATAATAGTTATTATAAACCACACACTCAGGATCTATATAAGGATAGACATGTTAGTGTTATATACCATACCTAGAAACACAAATAGATATGTCCCAAGCCACATAAATACGTTGTAATTGGGGACAATATACCGTCCAAACTGGTGGTCCGCCCCTTATGGGACCATGTCGGCGAAATGACGACTCGTCTCGTTCCTGAACAGCTTGTGCTTATTGATCTCCGCATACACGTGTGGCAATGCGTCGCTCCTGTTTTCTGTGGTGTTTCTGACGCTGCTGGCCACGGCTCGAATGGTGATTTGGACGCCGCGCCAGGAAGAAGTCTTGCGAGGCAATTGTCTTTTTCATCACGATCTAATCCGATTCTTTGAGCATCAGCTCAAGATGCAATTTAGAACTAATAGAAAACGCTTGCATTCGACAGTCTTCAGCAAAAGATGGGTGATGTGAGGCGAGCTTGGTTCGTTTGAGCGAGGCTAGCATTGATTTTCTCTTTTAGAGCAATCTACGTCACATCTAGGCGGTTTCCTGTGTAGCCTTCCCCTTGGTTAGGTTAGACAAACTTTGTTAATGTGAGTAAGTTTTGTTCCTGGCCTGTTCCCGGCTGTATCTTTGGTTATGATCCAAGTCGAGGTTCCCGACCTCTCCAGTTTGTTTTGACCCCTTTTTCATCTCGACTGGTCAGCTTTTATATTTCTCATGCCCGTATATATTTTCTCCTTTCCCACTTAGCGAGAGAGGTTCTTGATTTTGTTCAATGGACAGAATATAGTGGCCTCTCTTTTTTGAAGGTTGAACAGACATACTAACATCAGTTATGTTTAGTTTACTTTGTGTTTATGTATAGTTTGATTTGGGGTTCATTCCCTCTCCTTTCATTTTAGTCATCCATAAATTTTTATGTTTAGATTTTATAATCGTGTTTCGTAGGACCTCCTTGAGAGGATGCGGTATTATGGTGGATGGAGGATTGATTGGTGATGGACGAGTTTTTATGGTGAATGTGGAAATTGTAATGAGTGAATGGGTCGTGAATCAGATTAGCTAGGTTTAAGATAGTTAGTGACGACCAGCCTCAACCCCTCCCCATTTTGATCGTGTGTCGTAATTGTATTTTATATACAATAAATATAAATATGCTTCCTAAACTGGCAGCGTGAGCTGTCAGCGTGGGAAGCTCTTGCCGTGTCGAACTCACTGCCTCGAAAGATACATGATCGCCTAAACGTGTATCACTCATGGCACTTTAGACTATCATATTATCCATTGAAATACGACCGTATGTTTCTGAAGCTAAAAAGAAGGACTAAATTATATCCTTGGGTATAATACTATCCAGTAGTAAGATAATCCGTATGTTATACCATATTAAACAACAAAATCTCAATGTCATACGTATATTTCAGTAAAATAGTTAATTTTTCACGATATGAAAGAAAAGAAAAAAACCGGAAGTTTAGTCCTTGTGTGTTTCTTCTCCAGTTTCCGTTTCGAAACATATTTTCAAATTTTCGGGGAAAGGTGCTTTGTTTTTATATTAACGTTATCGAACCATGACAGATCTTGTGTATTCCCTTTATTCATTTTTCATTTTAATCAACTTTCTTGAATGTCCTGTCCAAAAGACGCCCAGTTACACTGATTCCCAAAGAACAAATATAGCCGTCATATCAAATACATTTTGTATACAATTCTTATATTTCTTTATATTTTATTATTTATTGTGCTAAGTGTATTTGTAATCTTCCTGTTTCAAATAAGAGTTTGTTTTTTTATGTCGAGTAAACCTTTTGGAAAAAGTGTACTTGTGTATAATATAACATTTGTCTACCTTTAATTTTCGTTCAGATTTCTAGATAAGAAAATACGGCATTATTGCGTGTACGAGCTATCAGGGTCTGAGCTGGCGAATATAAATAATGTAGCTAATCTTAGCATAACATATCATTAACGATAGACTTGTGACATTGCATTATAAGCAAGCATAACTCTTCATAGTTTCTTTTTTATATCTTTAAATTGTCACTGGTATTTTTTTTTTTTAAAGAAAGTGGAATGTCTTCCTGTTACCTTAGGAGCTGTTTTATAAACCGATTTGTCTTTTTCCTGAATTGGGTCAAAAGACTGAATTGCGTCTGCAATAACAACACACATAACTTGGAGGAAAAGAGATGGATTTATGCATATCCCAAGGATATTAGTGAAAATTTAACCCAGCACCCTCTGTCCCAATTTGAAATCGGCTTGCTATTCCATTTTCCCCACCATTAGCTGTAATGTCGCCAGCACAACTCTGATTTCTAAATAATGATTGTTAAAATAAACACACATTAACTCCTGTCTGACTCATCCGAAGTTTTTAAGAGACACATCAATCTAATTCACTTTCACAGACGAAACGATTTACGATTGCCCTACGCTTGAAAAGAAAAACGAACAAACTTCTACCTTTTGACATTACTAAGTACTTACTCAAAAAAATGTTCCTAAAAAAACATTCATCAAGTTGACTACAACTCTTTCTAAGGTTTTACCAGTCTCACAAATAAAATTAGCAATTCTGAACACAGACAATACAAATTGTAATTCCTCAAATCTTTAAAACATTGTAATTCTAATAATGTTTTCCTGTTACACTGTTCCGACGTCTACTGAGGGATTTATTCTTTTACGGAATATCAATATTTTGCAGGTTATTTAAAGGCAGTAAATAGTTTAAGATTGTAAACGTTTTTACGGGGATAATAATGATTTACTGATACAAGAAATACTAAATAATCCATATCTGGAGGGCGAAGAGATGAATTTATACCTTTCCCCCAGGGTATTTGTGCTTAAATAAATATAATCCAGCTGGAATTGGCCATTGGAAAACCGATTTCCTATTCCGAGCCGTAATCCATTACACCACCCTTACACCCAAGCTTACAGCAACTGGTATTCCGAAGCGGTCACCCATTTAGACTCAACATTGCTTAACTTCGGTGATTGTACGAGAATCGGTGTTTTGAATGTCATATTGTATAAGCCATTTCCGATATTTAATCACCAAAATGTACTGCAATGATCAAATTTTTACTGGCAATGATTTGCTGAAATAGTGAAATTTACCCAAATATCCACGGTATATTCATTTTATCCCCGATGAAAAAAAGATAAACATTTTTTTATATTAACTCGTAGTAACCGTAAAATTTTTACGATTTTCCTATCTGAATAGTTTGATAAATGACGATTCTTAAGTTAATGATGAAATGATCTTCATGTTACATCCACGGCTATAAAATACCCGTGGAATTTCTTTTATTGAATCGTTAAATATTCGGGCATAACATTATTCAAAGAAGTAAGAGGGTACAAATGAAAATATTTCAAATTGACAATTTCCCATTTCACTGAAGCAGGTTTTCAACTCATGAGAACCCTGTCTATCTTATCTTTTCTTTCTTCTGTTCTTTCTTTCCTTGAAATTAAACAGCGTTTTTGCTATATTTTCTACCGAATTTCCTTGCAATCAAAACGGAATGCACCATTATTTATCAAAGGCAATGGCAGGGCTTAACGCACGTGCAAACTAACTTACTGACGAACTGAGGAACAGGAATAATAATTATGCTCATCTGCCTTTGTAAACGCATTAGTATAGTCATCTTGATAGTCGGTCATTGTATCTATCAGACCCGCAAATTTGAACCGAATATTTCATTGTTTCACGATATTTCATATACTCTTGTCTCTGTCTTTTTACATCGGTTGTCGTTTAAATCACTGGATGAAAGTAAGTTACATTATTTACATTATTCGGACTATTGTCCTCATCTTTGTCGCCATATTTATCCCAACGTTTCGGTTGTTGTACGCTCTGGCCTTCTTCAGGTGGTTGGAATGTCGAACCGAATCATTTATTTCGCTCACTGGGGTAGACTGTTAAAGTTCCACGTGTTTAATGTATGTCAGTTATCAGTTATCCCCTGTTAATTTTCCCTCTGAAAGTTCTCCACTGCCTTAGCCGGGTATTGAACTCACACTCTTTGGGTTATGTCACTGGATCTAACCAACACCTTTATCCACTGTGCCATGTGTCCTTGAAATTACTTTTACGCTAAACTTGTTGCAGAGATTGAACGCTTAACTGTTTGTGTGACTGATATAGTTTAACGCACGTTCGAATTCAACAGGCCGTGTATGTCTTGTACAATCTAGTAGTAAATATTTGGAGCCCTAAAACTCTGGCAAATGCAATTGTTTAATGAGCAACTTCTAGACAGTGTTCATCGCTACGCTTGGTCTACTGAGGCCTTTTTTCAATGTCTAACATGCTCGCTGAAGCTTTTAGACTTAAAATCCAGTTTTGTTCTCTCTCAATTATCTTTGCTTCTTTCCACATGATTTGATGGTCAGCATTTTTCTTCCATACGTAGTCTGTCATGCCTAATTTTAATGTCTCTATCCAGGCTACAACCTTTCTGTGTTCCTTAACTTTAGAGAGTAGTGGTGTTGCCCTGGAAGTCCTTGACGCAACGACATAAGCCAAAGCGAGCTACCTGCCGCGCGGGCGAGGCAGGCTTGCGCCGAGCTTGCTGACACGCGCGCAGTGAACCTTCGGCGCGCGGGAAGCGGCAGCCGACTCCCGGCCTTCGCCTTCGTTCGCTGTCACCGGACGCGCGTCGTGCGCCTCGGCCGGGCCACTGAAAACCTGTCGATGATTGTCTGTCGATCGTGAAGCAGCACGCTTGCTTGCGCCACGCTCTCGCCGGCCGAATTCCAAGCGAATGTTGAAGAAAAAGCAGGAGTCTGTTCCCCAAAGTAGCAGTTCTTGGGTGAGGGGTGAAAGCCGTTTCAGTGGAGTTTTTCAATCTTTTAAAAGCAGCCTTCTGTCCCCGGTTGAGCAAATCAGAATAGATAGCGACACTGCCAGGATATCGTAGAGATGACTTAAGGTAGATGATAAATCTAAACAAATTTAATGTATCTGAATGTTGTGACGTACCTACGATTTCCTTATCCATATAGGCGTAAGGCTACAAAAGGGTCCCTCAAAGAAAAATCCCGAATTCTTGTCGGAAAATAGTTATAAAAAAATGAATAAAATTCAAAGTTTTCAACTTTCGAGCGAATATGTTCTATGATCAGCCATACCCCCTCTTCTTTCAATGTTCTTTCTGTCTTTACCTTCTCCTCCCCCCACAAGCCAAGAGCCCGTGAACTTTGAAGCGACCTAACCCGAGAATGACCTGGTTACAAAATCACGCGACCATCAGGCGGTTGACAATATGTGAACTCCAGGCACCATCAGCCTCTCTTGCCCCGACTCCGATCACGTGATGTGACCATACTGAGGGTTGATTGGATCTTTAGCCATCACGCAAACACTTTGTGATTTGCACACCATCCTCCTGCATACCCGGTCAAGGATGAAGAGAACCCACGTGACTATCTTTAGGGCAGGCAAACATTTAAAAAAAAGGTTTCCGTTTCCCGTCTGACTAGTGGCAGATGAATATCGCCAAGAGAATCGTCACAGTTCTATTAGACTGCCCATCGAAATGTGACGTCATCCCGGCCTCTCTGCCCCCGTGCTATCCTGTGACGACCAATGTGACTTGGTATTGGTCGCGGCGCCAAATGTGACGTTCTAACCCTTGGCTGATTCGGATGGGAATCTGGTTAGATTCGGTATCAGCTTTGTCGTTCCCAGCTCGCCTCCAACGTCTGGTTACCGAAGTAACTGCTTTGATTTCTAGTCTAACCTACCCACGTTGTGATTTGATCTTAGGTAGATGAAATCAATCAATTGCCGGGCCGTAATGCAAGCCGAATTCGAGCAAAGGTGATATCGCACAAGTATATGTAAAAGAAAATAAAGTAACAACTCGAAAGGTTCAAATGTGTTAAAAAAAGAATAGCAAATAATTTTATATCTGGTTGCTGAATACAGGACTGCACCTTTCTCCCAAACCGCTTCTATGGGTACGTGACACTTTGCGTTTCTTAGGCGAGTCTTAATAGCTTAAGTTGTTTCTCAATAACTGTTTTTTTGTATCATCAGGCGATATTCGTAAAACATGTTTTGGTGGTGTGAGTCTGAGTCGTTCTTCAAAAATAAATTGTTTTTGGTTAGAAGTCGAAGGCGGAATGCCTGGATAACTTTCAGTCAGCTTCCTGCGTGGCTGGTCTCCGATCTCACAGCTCAACTCTGTCTGCGTCTGCGTCTGCGTCTCATCAGAACTCTCCTGAACTCTCTGTGACTCTGTTTATATGGACGCCGACCAAAACCGGGTGTCGGCTTGTCGGGGTTTGAGTTCCTCGATAATTCTAAATCCACAATAAGGTTTTTCTTTGTTTTCGGACAGGAAAATTTATCACTTTCCATTGTTGGAAGTCCATTACTTTCTGCTTTAAAGGGGGTTCTTAAGGGAATCGTCCTCCCAAATTCTTCCTTTCTCATATTGGTATCTCACATCAATCCCCTCAGGGGGCGTCAACAGGTTTCCCTTTTTCTCATAGTGGTATCTCACACCAATCCCCTCAGAGGCGTCAACAGGCCTCATCTCCTTCATATATATGTTTACCTTCGCCCATTGCTCACGCCACCATTCATCCAATGAACGCTCGTCAGCGTGGATGTGGCTAGTCTGGGCTCAGTTTAAAATTATCGCTCAAAGGAAAAAAAATCTTCCTTTTTTTCTTTTCTTTCTTTTCCACCATCAGAGGTCGCGATTATCTTCCAGCATTCTGTTTTGTAGGCCACTTGACCAATTTGAAATTTTCATTATTGCCATGGGCAGATTGTTATCTTTTATTCGCCGCGTCATAGCATAAATTAATTCCGACAGATCTGAGATCTTACGAATTTCCTATCTTCTGCGAAAAAAAAAATACTTTTTTCCCTTTCGCAAATGAAAATAAAATCTTTACCACTTTTGTTTGTTAAAAAAAAATAACATCGCTCAGTATGTCTTTCGTGATAGCTTCTTCTCGCCTTAATTATTTCTCGCTTTTAATTTTCACGCTTACGCTAAATAGTGTCACAGAAATAAAGACGGCAAAGTCTGTCAACTAGAGAATGAAAGGACTACAACTAAGCCGAATCAATGAATGAATGCCTGTATGAGATGCTGTGGATCCCCGACAGTTGCCGAAAGAAAAAGAACCCAGGGGAATTGCCGGTTGACAAAATATTGTTTTAGCATAAGAACTCTCGCTTCGACGAATTAGAAGTCTGTGTGGCGATATCAAATCCACTGACCCATCAAGAGAGATAACTTGATTTCTTGTATTGATCTTTATATATATATATATATATATATATATATATATATATATATATATGTGTGTGTGTGTGTGTGTGTGTGTGTATGTATGCATTCGCTCGTATCCTCTGTTCTTTCATGATCCCTTTCCCCTTTGCTAAATGAAGTTTCTTTTTGTTTCTTTACCTGATACTATATTTATAAATAAATGTTTTATTTTGAAATCCATCGTCTTACGTCTGTTTTTCGCTGACTCCGTTGTGTCCCTGAGTGAAGACCGACAAAACATTGCACGTTTTCCTTATCTTAAACCAGTGGTTCACCTATATGCTAGATGTTTGTAACAATGTAAATAAACTTAGTATTAAATATGAAATTGACAAAGCTGTTGTTATTACTGCTACTAGGCACAAAGAACAATTCAAATGTTACAATTCGGAACGACATGTTTCCACTGTGTCATGTGACCTCAAGGACACATGGCACAGTGGATAAAAGCGTTAGTTAGATCCAGTGACAGGACCTAAAGTGTGTGAGTTCAATACACAATTAAGATCTTTCAAAGGGAAATTAACAGGAGATAACTGATGAATGACAAACAAATTAAACATCGCACGTGGAACTAGAACAGTCTACCCCAGTGAGCGAAATAAAGGGTTCAGTTTGACATTCAAACCACCTGAAGAAGGCCGAAGCGTACAACGGCCGAAACGTTGTAATAAATATGGGATAAAGACGAAGTCAATAGTCCGAATAATGTAAATAGTATACAGCTGCCTTAAAATAGTTTCTAAGATGTCATATAAATGAAGCTTATGAGTATGTAAAAGACCGTATGGGTTTGAGCGTTGTTGAATTAGGAACATGTGCTCTTTATTCCTGCTAGAAAGACCAACTACAAGAATATGGTGGACTCAAGTTGAGTCCAACTGAAGATGTAAAGAAAACAAACAAAACCGATATATATATATATATATATATATATATATATATATATATATATACCAAAGTATATAATTGGTATACACGGAATGAATTCCAATAACCAACAATTACTATTCTTAAAAGAGTGCTCAATACAAAGTAGAGCAGATCTAATTATTTTATAAAAAAAATTATAACATAAGTATGTTATAAAATCACTACAAAATAGCCATTTTGTTTCAACACACTCTGTGTCTTATCAAGTGATGATGTTGAAAAGAAAATAAATGGTTTTAAAAGTTTCAGATTAATTAACGATCCTACACTGGGGGAAACATTGTTACAAAAGCTAGAATAACCAATCAAAAACGAAGTATAGAAAGATTCAAAAGCTTGACAACGAAATCCTGCTCTAATAGCTATTCATATCTTTAAATACGTGTAATATTAAAATTAATTTAATATATACACATTTACACCAACACTAATAACACTATGTAGGTAAGCAATACACACTTATATCGTAAGTATGACCATCATGCAATAAAAATACTAATCTATTAAAAATACAGCGACATATCATTATCATTTAAAGTATACGACCCCTACACTAAGTTAAATTTATAACGGTGTTTACAATTTACTGTAAGTTCATATCTTTGATTTAAGAGATCAGCCTTGTTTTTAAATCTAATAATTTCAAATTTTTCATTCAGGCATAGGTAACATGGGGTATATAGGGAGTTACACGTACGAGCTTTCTTAACCAAACTCCATTTAATCGTAGGTGTTTTGTTCTTATCTTTTAGATTCCAAAAATACTTGGATAATGAAGTCATGTACCTATATTCACTGTGATATACTTGCATATGCCCCCGCCAGCTTTCCTTGAATGTTTTCATAGTAGAACCAATGTAAAACTTCTTTATATTTGGATTTTCAATCGTTGAAATAGTACCAAGATAGACTACAGAAGTAATCCCACAGTTATTTTGTAGTGGACAATAATTCGGATTCCTACAATTACATAAGTTGTTAATTGTATTCTTATAATTAGTATTGCAGTTAATAACCTGTTGATTAGTCAAGTCTTTTGAATTCCTATACTTGTTAAAGACTATGTTGTTATGTTTTTTAATTATCTGCTCTAGGTTATCAGCACAACTATAGCTTAATTTAAGGGTATTAGGATTAAATATTTTACTAAGTGGGTTAGTTTCAGGGTTGGGGAAATGTTTTTTGACTAGGTTTATAAATATACGCCTTAACTTAGTTTTGACCATAACATTGAAAGGGGGAGTGAACCAAATAATCTTTCTAGATCTTCTTTTCTTATTATGGTTGCAATTAACAGGGTTTTTATATTGAATAGTGGTATTTTTGTATCCACTATTTTTTAGTGCAGAATTATAAAAATCACTATGTTTATTGAAAACCTCCTTATTATAAGAGTTAGTGCTAATTCTAAATTCAATGGAAGAGGGTATATGTTTAATAACCGAAGGGGGGTGGTTGGAATTAGGATGCACGTATAATGGGTTGGAATTAACCTTCACATATGGTTGGAAAATATTGTTAGCAAGATCTAGGGTGACATCTAGAAAATCTACTTGTCTAACATTAGTAGTAACTATTGTCCTAAGACCTAAATCCTTAAATACCCTATAAATCATTTTCCTAATACGGTCTACCTTAATTTTAGTTGAGTTTTTAACAACTAATAATCCATCATCTCTATATAATCCTACACTATCTGAATCTAGACACTCGAAGGCAGTGTAGGATCGTTAATTAATCTGAAACTTTTAAAACCACTTATTTTCTTTTCAACATCATCACTTGATAAGACACAGAGTGTGTTGAAACAAAATGGCTATTTTTGTAGTGATTTTATAACATACTTATGTTATAATTTTTTTTAATAAAATAATTATATATATATATATATATATATATATATATATATATATATATATATATAAATTCATGAATCATTCATACAAAAAACAAATATAGAGGCTAATGATTTAAATGGCGAGAATACATCTTCGCGAACAATATAAATGAGATACATCAACCCCAAACCTGTATATGAATGATATGATCCCTGTTCATAAATTCCAGTTGCATAAGGTCTATATTTGTTTTTTGAATGAATGATTCATGAATTTTTAAATTATAATTTGCACCTTTAATTGAAATTATATATATATATATATATATATATCAACAAATATTTATGTTTGTGTGTGAACGTAAAGAGTTTGTATTTTCGTGAAATGTGCGTACGTACGTGTTTGTGTGTTTCATGGCGTTTTCTCATAAGTGGGTGAAAACGCCGATCTCTACGACAGATCACATTTTTAAATGTGCTTGCTGAGATGCAAAGTAGAAAAGAGAACGAGGCAAGAAGTCGTTCAGTATTTATAGTGTAGGCAGAACGACCCCTAGTGAACAATTAGTGAATTACGGAGGAGCTAACTCCGACAAGTATAAAGGAGCTCCATAACTGTTAAAATTTGATTTGAGGAGTTTAAGATTATATTGTTCAGAGAAGCGCTCATGCGGAAGCCTGTTTCACATGGTGAGACTTCCTAGGGGAAGAAAAAAAATCTGGTTCTCTTCCCAGGTGCAGTTAGGAGAATCGTTGAATTGCTTTTGGATACTCACTTGATGTTGTATGGACCGCCATTTCTCTAAATCTTTTCAGAGGTTCCTTTTATTTATGGTCAGTAGACAATGATAGATTTTATATTGTTGTCCTCGAGTCTTCTGTTCTATGCGTGGAATCTTATGTTAAGCCTAAAGTGTAGAAGTTAAAATGAAAGAAGCTTGCAGTTGACTGACTTCGGATGGGTAGTTTCACTGTGTTATCTCAACGCTTCTGTTCACATTTTGTCTGGTGCTTCTGCTATATATTTCTACAAATTAGCAATAAAATGCAAAGAAGAATCAGCAATGTTATGAGGCTTGACCTGACATCTCGGCTTCAGTCACTTTCATACCGTAGCTTCCCAGTGCCTTTTCTATAAATATTTTCATGCTAATTCTTCTAATGACCTTTGCACTATGCTATCTAGATTTTGTGTATTTCAGCGCAGTACTATATGGTCAATTTTTTTTACAGTAGCAATGACTAGATGTAACCGTAAGTTCTATGCTACCAATTTCTTATTTCGTACTTCTCGCTTGTTGAACTCTCTACCGGCTTCTAGTTTCCCAGTCAACGTTGATCTTCAAAATTTTAAATCCAACGTCAATCATTATCTTCTGTCTTCTTAATTTCCTGTTCTTTTATTGTCCTCTTTACTTAATAATGCTTTCTCACATCTATGACGATAACACATTCTGTGTTTGTGGTTTTATTGCCTTGCTTGGGTTGAAATGATTAAGAAATAAAAGAAACTATCTTTAGTTGCATTTGTGCTTTAGGCATCTTCATAAAAAGCAAATATGGTGGCCAAAACACAGGGATTCTTTTCTTGCCACAACACCTCACTCATTGCCCTAAAGCGGAAGACGCGGATATTCAAATGGTACAATAATCGTGGTTAATGAGCAATCTTCCACATTAAATTATATATATGAAAACTCTCGATGAAACCGATATATTTTCATCCTACCCACCTCCTGTGTCAGGTATTAGTAAATATCTTGCTCTGTTTTTCTTTCTCTGTCGTATTTACGCTTACATGCATATCGTGGGAAAACATTAAGAGAGGCATGGTCCCGTGGAACCTCAACTTGCAGCAGCAACTTCTTCATTGTACGAATGATTTCAAAGGATTTCGATGTTGGTTTTACAGTAGTCACAGATTTTGGCCGACCATTTGAGTGTTTACTAGCTCTTCACATTAAACCGACCTTATGTCGTATCCCAGTACTGTACGGAGAGTGGATAAATACCGGTTTCATTGTATTAATGCCAGACATGAGAATGGTGTTTATGGCGCCAACGGAAAGAGAAAAGGAAAAAGAAAAGTTGAACGATACTAATTAGCAGCTAATGCTGGAAGTGCGAATAATCGATTGTGTTAATCAGTTCAGCACTTTCTTCAAAGTGAAAATCTCAAGGAATATTCCTCAAAGAATATTTCACGTTATATTTCCGGTTTCACTATTTAATCTAAAGTCCTACCAACAAGAATATACCGACACTATTTACATTATTTGGACTATTGTCCTCATCTTTGTCGACATATTTATTACAAAGTTCCGGCCGTTGAACGCTCCGGCCTTCTTCAGGTGGTTGTAATGTCGAACTGAACCCTTTATTTCGCACACTGGGGTAGATTGTTCTAGTTCCATGTGCCATGTTTAATGGATGTTAGTTATCATTTAGCTCCTGTTATATTTCCCTCTGAAAGTTCTCCACTGTCTTAACCGGGTATTGAACTCACACTCTTTAGGTCCTGTCACTGGATCTAACAAACGCTTTTATCCACTGTGACATGTGTAATAAATATGGCGACAAAGATGAGGACAATAGTCCGAATAATGTAAATAGTGTACATAATACCTCATTTCAGAAATATATATATATACTGAAAAATATACCAAATACAACGCCTACACGTTTTCTGCAAAACCAAAACGAAGAATGTTTTTAACTCAGGAAATTTCAAAGTTTTATCTTAGGTCGAAAGAATAGAGAAAGCGTGAAAATATACGAGAGTAAGCTAAAAATTATCTGTACTTACGCCATAAAATATCTTTAGGTTTGTCACACTGCCTCCTATTCATACGTTCTTGTAATTGGTACTATTGTGGTCACGTGATCGAAGTTTGAGCTTGATCCTGCCAGTTTTTCTTGCTGATGTTACAGTGTAAACATGGCCGCTGCGCTAGCAGTTTGCATGAGGGAGAAACAAAGACCAGTGATACAAATCGGCAGAGAAGATGCTACCACATCGTTGATAACTCCCCGGTTTGCCATTACCATTAGCTTGCTGAATATTCTTGTCAGTGGTGGAGGTTGACGGGAGTCCTGCCCCTTTCTTCGAGCGTCACACTTTTCTGGCCACTTTTAAACTTCTTGATCCACTCAATCACGATTCTATGCAGCAATGCTCTATAGTCGTATTGATAGCCTACGATGAATTTTAGCCAATGACAAACCTTCTAACTAAAGAAATCGAATCACAGTTTCTTTGTTCCTGCTTGATGCACACTGCTAACGGAGCGGCACTGTTTGCTCTGTAACAGCACCAAAAACAAACCGAAAAAAAAAACTGATGCAACCAGGCACAAACTTCGATCACATGACCACAATTGCACCAATTATAAGCATGTGTGAACAGAAGACAGTATAACAACCTTCAATATATATTATGGCGAAATCTCTTCCTTTTGCTATAGGACAAACTGAGTCATAGAGCCTTGGTTTCTGAATTCAGTTTCTCTTCTTCTAGAAGGGAAATCAGACCAGCCTTCAGGTTATGTTACCAAAGACACATAACTACTGCTATGACTGTAGTTCATGTGGAACTCTGGTGTTCCTTAGAATCTTATGGATTACGGGACTCGTGAAAGGTGGTAATATTGAGTTTATTTGTTTCCTTATAAGGAAACAATGACTGTTCAGTTAGAGTGACTGTCAGTTTACATATATAAATTCTTTCTCTTAAAACAGTTGTTTTTTCTTCTCAGGGAAATCTGCTTCTCAATTCCACAGATGTTACTCTACCTGGAGTTTTTCTTTCCTATATTTCTATTGTTGATAGCCTTTTAGCGATGTGGTATTCTGTTATTTGGTAAAACTTTTTTTGACTCCCTATAACTAGTCAATAAGATCTGATGAAGGAGTGGCGTCTTTAAAATCGAAACGATACATTCACTCGAAGACGTTTTCAGTCACTGATCCGACAAAAACAGCTGTATACTGATGATGGTTTAAACCTTTCTGAAGGATACAGACGTCACGCACGATATCCTTATTAGAGTCGAGATCTGACAAACGTAAGGATATGACTATAATTGTCAATTTAATATTTTGAATTTATAGAATCTGTGTTGAGAAAAGGTACCGTAGTATAGCCTATGCTGTGTTCAAATTCCGTACTTAATTAGAATACATCCAATTATACATGTCATTAATGGAATAATCCTTAATCTCAATGTTTAAGGAAGAAATCACTGCCCAAAATGCAAAAGATTGCCTTGGTGATTATTTCAATTTGCACTAATTGACAGTACTTTGAAAAAAATGTTTTACGAAGTTTAAAATGACATTAGAACAGGAAAAATGATCAAGTGGATGTAATGTGAAGAAGCGGAACGAAAGAAAACTGAACAAAGAACAAAAAAAATTGGAAAAAGTAGTGGTGAACTTTTAAATAATTAATTGGTACAGAAAAATCATTTTCCCTACAGAGTAGCTGACAATCAAATATTCAGTTTTCGAATAGGCTGCTTTAAGCAACGCTAAACATACAACGGATCATACAATCAGGGTTGATTTATTTATTGTTTACGTTTTATTAGCCTTTTCCAGGTTGACTTAAAGACAGAAAATATTTTAGATTATAAGAATATTTCGAGGATAATTTTAATGATACAAATACTCTCAATGCATTCATAGGTTGGATGAGAAGGTGACAAACTTTGGATATGGCTCTCTCCGATTTCCAATTCTGAGCAATACAATACTCACAAACCCACGCTCACAATACTTGGAATTCCAAAGACGTCACCCCATGTAGGTACTACCCAGGCTCAACTTTACCTTACTTCGGTGACCGTACGAGAAGCGAAATAGGTCCCATTAGTTGACTGGTCAATGATTAATAAATGTTTAATAAAAGTATATCGAACACTGAATCAAAGTAAACAATGAAATTGGAATCGTTCTTTTATGATTGAATACAAAATTTACCTGAAAGAGAGTGTGGTTCACTGGGTCAGGAAATGGCTTGCAAATTTGAATGCGTACAAAACGAAACTGCTCTCATTTACCCACCATAGAGAAACCTGGCTGTCTCCTATCAGCTTGGCTGATGCTGAACTTCGCGAGAGCGTCTCCTTGGTCTCACGTTTCCCACTGACGCGAATCAATAGCTTCATCTACTGCAAGGAAAGTCGGTTCTCTGTGTCGGACCAGAGGTTTTTTCTCATCTGAGTCCATCCTTCAAATCTACAAATCTACCATTCGTCCTTGTATTGAATGCTGTTGCTAAGATGTATATGAAATATGATAGGTATCTCAACTCCAGACGTAATGTGGCTTGCCTCTGTCTTTTCTACAAATATTTTCATGGCATCTGCTTTTACGGGCTACTTTCACTGGTACCCCAACTGCATGAATTTAAGCGTGCTACTAGGTTGGCATCTCGGTCTCCCCCTTTCACTGTCGAAGCAGTTAAATATAACCGCCTCTTCTAATTCAAAATCTTCTTCGTTTGCACTTCCCGACAATGGAACTCCTTTCCTCTTACTTGCTTCCCTGATAAGTATAATCTTCAAAAATTTAAATGTAATATCAATCGACATCTTCTGACGCCTTGATCTTTATCTTTTTCTTCAAACATTCAAATTCTCTCTTACTTTGTCTTTCTGTAACCCCTGCCTGTTCATAGGAATTCAAAAGAAATAACTTAATGGCTGAGTAATAATGCTACAAATTGATATGCATGAAATATTTTATGAAAGATTTATTATAGATGTATCTTATAGCGTAATGGTAAACAAGCCCAGCTCAGTGATTATTCATTGTTTTCTTGATACCAATCGATGAAGCGCATTAATTTTACTGCTCTTTGTCAGATTACACATCGCTTACATTTGCACAAACATTTACCGACAGATTTAGTCTCAAGAATTTTTTATGGTGCCTTCGTATGTAGCTCTAATCTGTCACTCGATTTAAATCGTTATTGTTTCTACAATGCCTGCACATGCGCTCATAGTGTCTTCCTTAATTCTCTTGTCCGCTCGCCTGTTATTTGAAAATAGCAGGGCTGGGCCCATTTAGAGAAAATTGAGATCTTATTCATCAATGGCAGAAAGTCCGCGCCTTGTTACGACTGAGGAACATTGATAATAGAATAAGAAATATTTATTTTTCCAAACGTAAATATAAAATAGTCGTTATGATGAAAAACGTTCTCATATTCCAGTCGAATCCATTGCATTCACTTACGTGCTAATACACTTAGGAAACTTATGAATCTTTTTATTCTCCCACCCCCAGGTATGGGTAAATAGCAGGACAGAACGAATTCTTGGAAGGCAAATGGTCCACCGCAGAAAGAAAACTACTGAGGGGAAAAATCTGCATCGTCAGTCATGTATCTATCGCCGAAGCGTGTATCACGCATGAAGCATAACAGACCAAATATATATATATATATATATATATATATATATATATATTAGTGGTCAATGTATATATATATATATATATATATATAAATATATATATATATATATATATATATATAGTGGTCAATGTATATATATATATATATATATATATCAATGTGGTCAATGTATATATATATATATATATATATATATATGTGTGTGTGTGTGTGTGTGTGTGTGTATTATAATTTTATCATATAGACAAAACCATTTTACTTACTACAAAAATGCAACTAGCTATCAGTGCATTTCATCTGCATTTCGACGGGTGAGAATCGAAAATGGTTATGAAAAATCCTGCTTGTACGCAAGCTGTGTGTGTAACGTCACTTCCGTTTTTCCATTTGTTTGAGAAGAAAAATATATATAAAAAAACAGTTGACGGAGTGAAACACTAGTGCTTG